CTATTGTGTTGGAGGCCATCGCTATTGTGTTGGAGGCCATCGCTATTAGGTTGGAGGCCATCGCTATTAGGTTGGAGGCCATCGCTATTGGGTTGGAGGCCATCGCTAGGAGGTTGGAGATGTATTTCTTTTGCTTTTTGAAGGCACCAGACCCGAAAGAGGCACATCTCATCATAAGCGGGTGTGACATGTCGGTTTCTACTCTGAAAAAGAGCATGTAGATTTTTAGGTTGTCTATGAGATTCCTCCAGTCCAAGTGAAACCCTTCGGCTTCCACGAACCGCCACACCTTTCGGGCCATTCGAACCCACCGGCTGCCTGTGTCCGGTCCAAACGTGGGTCAGGCCGGAGAACATCCGGATGCTCCCGCGCATCCATATCTTCCAGGGCACCGCTTTGTCGGACATCGATCTGCGGCTCAGTCGCAAGGGATGGGCAGCAAAACGTGTCCACCTAAGCATGAAGTTCTGTCAACTTGAGAGGTTGGCATAGAATGGCAGAAAAGATTTGCAGTTCTGTTGGCTAATGGGTTAAGTGAAGGGTTTCCTCCGCGATTCTGGTTTCTCCTTCCTGTTCGTATGGATGCGCCGCAGCACTTGATGCTTGGATTCTAGATCTATGCCTGGAACTTCTAGGCCTGCTGTTTTGAGCCAATCAAGCACAGCAGAAACGATGAGAATCGCCAGTGAGCCAGATTGACACGCTTCCAGCAATCTTTTGCTCTTGCAGTGATCCCATGTCCTGTAACTAGTATCATCACATTGTCTTGAGGTCTCTTGATCTCACGCCACATTCATTTTCAGGTGCACACCCCGCAATATCCATAGCATTCCAATTCAACGCTGTTGAACAGTGCACGATCGATGGAGGGTGCACAGCGGTGGCACAGCCCATCCGTCTCATTTCGGAAGGTGCTTCCGTTGCTTTTGCTTCCGGTGCTTCCGGGAGCCTTTCTTCTTTTCGGCCGCCTGAAAGGCCGCCTTGGCCTTTCTCGAACGACCCGTTGGGGTGGACGAAGCAGGCAGGGCAGGCAGGGCTTGGGTGAAGATCTGCCGGTGCTGCCGGGCTTCGCCGTCTTGGTGGACTTTGAGATGTCCAAGGCCAGCGTCATCGACGGGTGGACCTGAGGTGGACCTGAGGCCACCAGAAACTTAAAGTCGAAATCGTTTGCAAGACATGTATGTTCATGTATGTCTTTAAAGCAACATGGCATATTCATGGCTTATCCCACATTCTTGAACGAGGCTGAGGATGGCGAGCGATTGACGTGGAAGGACATGCCCAGTCCACTGAAGTTTGTCGCAGACGCTGGAGAGGTTCCCACGTTGTTGGATAAGGCAGTTGTGGGTATGGTCCCGGGCGAAAGCAAGCGGCTGTTAGCATATGGAGAGCCAGAGGAAGGAACGAATGAAGTTTGGGACTTTTCCAATGAAAAGACACCACCCTGCGATATGCCAGTGATGCTCGATATCACACTTCTAAAGGCCCGCCTCGAGCAGAATGCGGATGGCGTTTCCGTGAAGACGTTAAGGCCTGGTGATGGCCGTACGTTCCCACAAGTGGGCGACCGGATCTCAGTGCAGTACACAGGGAGGCTGGCCAGTGGGAAGAAGTTTGACTCCACCTACGACCGACGAGGAGTGGCATTCACCTTCCGTGTGGGCTTGGGGAAAGTGATTCCTGGATGGGACCTGGCTTTGATGAAGCTTTCCCTCGGGGAGAAAGCGCTTCTGACCATCCCATCAGCCTTGGCGTATGGACCGAAGGGATACGGAAAACTGATTCCTCCGAACTCCGATTTGATCTTTGAGGTCCACTTGGAAAAGGTGAGCCGATACAGCTTTTAGACGGACTCCCAGAAACAGCCGTCGCACGACACCGACGAGGCAGACGAAACACAGATCTGGTGCAGCTTCGCCCTGCCGGCCTAGCAGGATTTGGTGCCATTCGTCGTGAAACGCATGACGAGCGGACCGAGCGGATGTGGCAGAACGGATGACAAACATCCTGCAATGGGAAAAAGACATCAACCGTCGCAGCAAAGGGCCGCGGTTGAGACGTTCGGTGGATTCACATTCTTCCAATGACACAATGTGACACTGTGACATAGATTTTTTGCAAAGTATCTGGCAGATCTGATGGATGTTGCTTAAGTTTCACTTGTTTTGCCACTCCCCAAGCTCAAACCTGACCCATTCCGACCATTCCCCCAGCCTTGCCCAGCGAAGCAGCGCTGCTTTTCCCGAGGAATCGAGTCACCATCAGCGCTGCCACCTGTGTGTCGGGGACTTGAAGGACCCTCATTCATTTGGTCTGAGGGTAAAGAGGCTTACTACTAGGAGCAAGGACGCTACTAGGGGCTCCTGGCCTCGCTATTAGGAGCAAGGACGTTTTGCCCCATCCAATCCTCCTCGCTGGGAAGTGGATGAAGCGTTGGAAGCATGAAAAACGCATGCATCCTGAAGCCATTTCGCTTCTGCGCTGAAGAGTCTCGGGTGGAGTCTGTCGAGTCGGAGGATTTGTTGAGACACTCTTGCTACGGAGAGCGATGCCAGGAGCTCCATTCGTAGCGTCCGATCGCTCCGTTCGTAGCGATGCCCTTTGCTCCTAGTAGCCTCTTGCTACGAATAGTGATGCCGTGTCACTAGTTACCAGTACTTTTGCAGTTGGCCTGTGAGTTCTCTTGTCGTGAAGGCTTGTGGACCATGAGTGCTGAGGTTTATCCTGCCAAACTTGCTGTGTCCCAGCGTGATGCAGGAGGAGACTTTGGTTTCTTTTGTGTGAGAGTGTTCAGAAGAAGTCTAGTAACTGTATATTATCGTAACAGCGGGGTGCAGGTCATAGGACTTGCCAATTTTCCCCCCAGTCTTGGAATCCAGTCTGGGTCCCGTCATCTTTGCCAGACCTGTGGCTGTTCTTTCCATGGCTTTTCTAGATTTCTGCAAGGTTTGGTGTCCCTCTTCTGCTTTTAGGTTTTCGTTTCATTGTTCTTCATCACTTCACCACTGAACAACTCCACTTGTAGGTGTGGACTACCCCCCCAATCTATTTCAGTCAGTTTTGCATTGGTCTTCCTTCAGTTTGGAGAGCCCCGAACAGGAGAGGAACACCAGGAAAGCAAAAAACCGGTGAAGCTGCCCAAACACGGAAAACCATCAATTCCTGCCGATCGAGCTGAGCTCGGGTGCCGTTTCCTGCTGTGCTCGTTTGCAGGATACTGAAAACATTATCCGCATGATGGCCGTTCAGAAATTTGTGCCAAGGGCGGCTTGGCACCAATTGGATGTGAATCGAGCAGCTGTGTGGCCCTTGTTCTTGTCTGCAGAGGTCACATCCACTTGCTCTCCTTGTCTACTGACTTGGAGATTCCAAGCTTTCAAAGAAAGAGAAGAGGGTCTCAACAATTTTCACACACAAACATGGCCAAAATGACTGGACTTTCCACACATCGCTGAGAAGCCATCCAAAAGCCACCCGGCAGTTCCCGCCCGCAGCGGCTGTTCCCGCGGTTTCGCTCGAGGTGCGCTTCATCTTGTTGCTCCTGAGAGCGGAGAACCGGAAGCTCCTCACAGAGGCGCGGAGTGTTTCTTCCCAAAGTTGGAGGCCATCGCGACTAGGTTGGAGGCCATCGCTTCTAGGTTGGAGGCCATCGTTCTTGGGTTGGAGGCCATCGCGATTAGGTTGGAGGCCATCGCAATTAGGTTGGAGGACGTTGTTCTTA